CCCTCAATTTTGCTGAACCTAAAAAAAAAAAAAGGAGTGAAAAAGAGAGAGAGAGAGAGAGAGAGAAATACCAGGGTGGAGGGAGAAGCTCATAAAACATGTGACCATCAGTGTTTGTAAAAAGAGTCTCAACTTCAAAATATATAAACTTTGGTTTTGGTTATCTTTTTTTTTCCTTTTTCCGAAAAAGTAGCTGAATTGTTTTACATTACTTAATCTTTCACAGAATAACAACAATGGTGGCAAAAAACAACAACAAGAGCAGTAGTATAATAAAAAGAAATAGTAACAATTACTGAACACTTTATATAAAGGGTCATCTCTTAAGTACCATACACATTTTCTTTTTTTTTTTTAAGATTTTATTTATTTATTTGACAGTGAGAGAAAGAGTGGACAAGCAGGGGGAGTGATAGAGGGAGAAGCAGGCTTCCCGCCAAGCAAGAAGCCTGATGTGGGGCCTGATCCCAGGACTCTGGGATCATGACCTGAGCCAAAGGCAGACACTTAACTGACTGAGCCACCCAGGCACCCCTACCATACACATTTTCTTTTTAAGATTAGTTTGTTTGAGAGAGAGAGAGAAAGAGAGAGAGAGAGAGCACAAGCAGGGGGAAGGGCAGAGGAAGAGGGAGAGGGAGAGAGAATCCCAAGCAGACTCCCCCGCTGAGCAGGGAGCCCAAAGCAGGGCTGGATACCAGGACCCTGAGATCATGACCTGAGCTTAAGGCAGACACATAACTGACTGAGCCACCCAGGCGCCCCAGGACCATACACATTTTTTTTTTAAAACAATTAAAACTTCCCAGAAAATTCTATGGGTTTAATTATATTACACCATCTCCAACTACAGATGAGAAAACAGAAACTAACAGATTTAACTCTTCAAGTTGTGACAGCTAACATGTGGTAGAGGCTAAATCACTCCACTTGTGTCTACATTTCCTCTTCTCTAAAATGGAAATATTATAATACATACATGAAGGGGATGATTGCAAGGACTGCCTGAGGTGATATCTGTGAAAACATTTATTACATAAACTGTGCTTTAGGTTTATTTATATATTCTGTCTCTGCATCTTTTAAAAGAGATTTTTTTTTAAAGATTTTATTTATTTATTTGAGAGGGAGAGAATGAGAGACAGAGAGCATGAGAGGGAGGAGGGTCAGAGGGAGAAGCAGACTCCCTGCTGAGCAGGGAGCCCGATGTGGGACTGGATCCTGGGACTCCAGGATCATGACCTGAGCTGAAGGCAGTTGCTTAACCAACTGAGCCACCCAGGCGCCCTGTCTCTGCATCTTTTAATGTCAAATATTCAGGGACATCATTACAAACTTGGGTTATTGAACTTGGTTTTAGCATAGTTTTATCATCAGAACGTAATGAGCTGTTGGCTGGTTCCCCCTAGAGTAGATGGTCTGAGGATTTAGCCATTTTCTAGTGCATTGCTTGTTTCTTTGTTTATTAAAAATTCTTTCAGAGCTACTTGCCTATGATGTACATGGTTTTATATATATTATCTGATAGATTCTGTACAAAAATTGTTGTACCTCTACCCTAGGGTGCTGAATTGAGACTTCTGTGCATAGTTAATGTCTACTGACAAAATCCCTGCTGGCTACTGGATTATAAAGTAATTGTGATTCTTGCTGGAGAAGGCTCTGAGCCAATAGATATGTCCTAAAAGTCAACTAGATGAAATCTAGAATGGAAATTTTGATGAATCTATTTTGGGTACAGAGCTCTTTTTTCGTGTATTTCTGGATCTTGAAATGTTGTACTTGTAAATATTGTTAATTAAATGGAATTAGAAAGGAATAAAGTCATGTTAAATGTGCTGTAAAACAATGATGAATGGTAACTAAAACGGGTCTTAAATATGAATTTCCTCTTTACTCAGATTAATTTCAAATCCTTATCATGTGGAGATGGTTTGCATATACAAAAAGAAAACAAGAAATTATAGTACCATCTGAGAAACTGGAAATTCTAATTTCAGGCATCTTAATGTGTTACATAGAAAGTTTTAATTTTGTGTGTTAATGTGATAGTTGCTGTTGTATTTTGCCAGAATATTTTATTAGTTGGTATAAATGGATAATTTATGTATATCAGTGCAGGGGCTATTGTTGGCTGCACCAAAATGTGCCACTTTGGCTTAAGGATTATTTGGAGTTAAAAGTAATAAAAAGCCAGCAGATGCAGAAAAGGATCTCTGCCTCCCACTCAAGTGCCTAAATTTACATGGGAAAGAACCTGCAACAGGAAGAGAAGTAGATCACCCTTTACTTAACGAACTTATCTGCATAATAGAGCAAACTTGTTTTCCCCAAACATCTCTTTTCACCTTCTTGCTAATGAGTTTTCTCCCCTTTGTATCCTCAGGTGCCCAACCCTTTCTTTAGCTCACGTAAGCTTCATGTTGCCTCATTGTCTTTGGAATTTCGTATCTGTGTGGATTCCCCCCATACCTACACCCATTAAATTTTATTTTTCTTCCGTTGATCTGTCTCATGTCAATTTGATTCGAAGTCCTGCTAGAAGGTCCACAGGGCAGAGGAAGATCTTCCTCCCCAACATCAGGAAGCAAGAATTTTAATTTACAAGATAAAACATCTTAGAGGAATTTTTTGAACTTTATTTTTTAACTGATAATATTCCTTTCACTCCCAAAATGTTAATAAAGCCCTATGAAAAATCCTCATGAAGACAATAAAGATACTCTGTCAAGACAAGATTTGGGCACAATCTAAATCATTCTGTTTATTATTATTTAAAAGATGGGTTAAATCAAATTACAACAAACCCTTTAGAACAAAGTAAATAAAGATTATAAAGCAGAATTCAAATTTAAGTCATAACACTAAGCAACGATGGGTTTTAATTACTTGGAAGAACATTATAAGTTGTGTAAATGTACTGCTTCAAGTGTATTAAGCTACAGAGAAATATTTTTCTAAAGATGTAAAAATGTTATACAGCTCAGTAAAATCACTTCTTAATCAACAATAAATCTCACATTAGTTTTTGACTCACCAAAAATGGTTTCAGGGAACTGTTCTTTGCTGTGATGCCTTTGGATTTATGGTGGAAAAACACAGAAAACACATGCATGTGGGATATTGTTTTATTTTATTAATATAAATTAAATGAGTAAGATTTTGCCTATTTTTTCATCACACAATTACTCCTTATAACACAATACTTTCATAGCTCAAGGTAGGGAAAATTTTTTTCTTCGGATGAATGGCTGGACTTTCCTTTATTAGAGAGAGAAATAAGTGAATCCTGATTTATAAATATGTGGAATTCAAAGGAAAATTCTGTTCTCTTATGTTGACTTTTCTGGGAGACAATTCTCTATGGTGTCAATAGATGTTTCATGACAGGTTTTTTTTTAAACTAGCTTTTAAAATATTCATATGGGAAACAGAGACAGAAAAAAAATCATGAAATTTTCCTTCTGTAGAGCAAAGAGCCTACAAAAAGAGAGTATCACCCTCTTGGTCAAAGGACAGATTTTTTTTTTTTTTCCTGACCAGAGTAATAAAAAGAATGTCTTTCTCCAGAGCAAAGGTTATATAGGTTTTCTAGCAGACTCTACAAGATAGGGTTTTCTAAGCTCAGGATTCCTCACGTAAAACATAATCCACTATGGGGAAAACAAACTCCTGGACCACTACTCAGCACCCTGGAAATTTGGGGACAAAGGCAACTGAGGTGAGCATGAAGTTCTCCTCGTGTGGAGTAACAGAGTCCTTTGTCCCTTACTCAGGAGTCTTGTGCATTCTCCCAGTGTTGATGAAACTGTGACAAGGAAAGAAATCTCACAATTTTCACAACCTGTGACACACTCTCCTCTTTAAGAACTTGTTTTTGGTCTTGACTACATTTTAAAAAAAATAGTTTTACATCCTAAGTCTCTTTTGGAAGTAGGTCGCTTATAAATAAATGCAATCTCAATGCCAACTGTAGTATCATATCTAAAAATCCTCATAGTTTATCTGAATCTCATGGCTTATTATCTCATGAACTTTAAATTCCTGCACCGTAGGGGAAAAACAAGCAAACAAACAAAGAAAAAACCCCCACATGGCCTGTTCTCATCTCTCAACTCTGCAAATAAAATGTGATACCGTAAGCTAAAGAGGTGGTATAACAATCTTTAAATTAAAAGACTCAGAAGCAAGAAATTCGGGGCTCAAGTCCCAGATTTGCAACTTGTTTTATTTAGGGAAATTAATTTATTTTCACTGTACATCAATGTAATTACTAGTAATTAAACAATAATAAATCTCTTTATTCTTTGTATCAATAATGTGGGAAACAAAGGCAGAAGAAGAATTATTACACTTCCTTACTACTTGCAGACCACTGACAAGTCCTAGAAACAGGCAGAGTGACGTTCCCCTAGGGACTCAACCGCCTGGATGTTGACACTTTGCTAAGGGCAAAAGGCAATCTTAGCTTGACTCCCAGGGTCCTGTGAGTCTACTTTAACATATAAAAATTCCTTTGGAAACTTCCTTTAATCTCTACCCACCCCCTCACCCCCTGCCAAGATACATGTTGGCGATCATCCCCCCCACACTTCATTACTATATTTTACTCAAAAGGTTACTTTATTTACTCTGTGTATTTTAAAATGTGTATTGAAAATAAATCACAATACAAAAGAATGTGAACAATGTACATGTAGACTCTGAAGGCTTGCTGTTCAATTCAGTAGTCAGTAGGCAATGTTATCTAAATGTGAATTAATTGATGGTATATGTAATTAGGAAGTCAGTTCCTGGTAGTTAGTCACCACTAGCTAATGGCTATTGCATAGGACAACCCAGAATATGAACATTACAGTCATCAAAGAAATCTCTACTACAAAACACTGATCTAAAGCATACAGTTTTAATTTTAGATTGTTTTTCTTCTACCACAATATTAATGGCAAGACAATGATAAATTATTGAAATATTAATGGATATTTTAAATACCACATGACAGTCACTGTTCCACATGAGAACTTTATGTGTTAAGTTTATAGGATCATGATAACACAAAAAAAGTGGGTATTGATGAAACAGGAGATGGAGGTTATTTTCTCACAGAGTTGAAGAATGAATCCCGTGGACAAAGGAGAGTGAGTAAAACCACAGAGTTTTATTAAGCAAGGAAAGGATAAGAAAAAACTCTCAGGAGTGAGAGGGGTCCCAACAGGTTTGCCAACTTGGGCCTCCACGACAGTCTTTTATTTAGAACTGACCAGGGAGCTTATGGCCCTAACATTCTTGTGACATCTTAGTTTGAGTAGGGACTATTGATAATATCTTTAATGGCTTACTTCTTCTTTGGGTCTGGTTATTCTTTGTTGGTCACAATGTGACTGTCATAAAAAGACCCCACTTCTGATGCCCAGGGTAGGGGTGGTCTGGTTTGTTCCCTTATCTCTGATTTCATTATGCCTCAGCATTTCTGGGATTTCTCTGAGCCTGATCACGTAGTCCCTTACCTATCTCTCCCTAACTAGCCCTGCACTTCCTTTACTCAGTGAGACCTTTTGGATGTAAATCTGTGGGTCATATACTTGAAGGACGATTAATAAATAAGGAGGAAGAGCCATTAAGCTCCTTTTCTGGGACTAGAGATTTTTGCTACAGGTCAAGGATTGGTGGTGGTGTGATGATGTAATTTTCATTGTTTTTCTTAAGAATTGTTGGGGGAAGCAAGAAGATGAAAAAATGGGGCAAAATAAGTTGAGAGGAAGTTGACAACCTGAGGCACGAAAACATTTGGAGTCAAATTTTAGAAAGATGAATGTTTCATATCAGTCGTAAATTAAATGTTTTATCGAATAGCCATATATAATGGCCCATCACTGTTACTTTTGAACTGTTAGTGAAAATCCACTCTGCCTACAATGTATAAATGTTGGGAGGGGAGCTTAGGCACAGACTTACTGAACTCATTAAAATACTGTTATAAAAGCAACATAAAAACTGATCAACTATAATGAAATAAATACATTTGATGATTTAGTTGTTTGGTCAAATGTTTTAGTAACAACGAGATTTGGCAAATTCATCCTCAGTAAATTGAGAGTTTTCAGTTAAAAATGGATATGGACAGAATTCCAGTGGCTGATATTCTAGAGAAAAAAAGCACCTGGGATGTAAGATTTTTACCAAAGAGAGACATAATGCCTTTATTCTTAATATACCTATCTGCTCTACTCAACATGAATATACTGCTATGTATTCAAGATGTAGATTAGAATGACAGTTTGAATAGTAATGTATAAGTTGGTGGTAAGGAAACTAACAAAAATGAATGGTGGTATAATCAAAAAGGACCAAGGAAGGGGTACTTACAATTAGAGAAAATAATTTACTATAGAATAGAAAATACTTAACAAAAGTAGTTATATATGTGTGTCAAAAGTTATTTATTTCTTCTTTTTTATTCTTATTTATAAAATATCCTATAATATGGTATTATTCTGTTTTTGCTTTTAAAGGGCATATTATTAAGTGATAGAGACCATGAAATAAATGCAAATAGTGTCATGTGCAATCAAAAGTGACAGATAACTTTCTGTTGAGTTATTCATGGAAGTCCAAGTGTAAGTAGGAGCTTTTGAGCTGGAAGTAAAGGTAGTGTTTTGGCATGAAGAATTCAGAGGAAAGATCAGAGATTGCATAAAAATAAAATGAGACTAAGAATTTGAAATTACAGATTATTATACAGAATATTTATCCATGCCCAGATAGAATAGTCTTTTCCTCCCTTTACTTTGATGATTTGAGTTAATAAGCAGGGACACAATAAAATATTTAAACAGAAAATGCAAACAAAATAAAACACACTTTTAATCAAGAGTGAAATTTTATATCTGAGAATATACAATTTTCTACTTGAATTAAGCACCTCGTATGGGAAAGTCTTCTGCATGAGTGCTGCACAACCAAAGGACTTTAGAGTTGCAATTTTCTTGTAAAATGTTGGACATGGAAATAAGCCATATCCACAGATCTCACTGAATTATGCTAAATAAGCTCTAATTAGTATTACTTTGGGGCAATGTTTATGAACACTTAGAAATTCAATGGTATAATTACATATGTTGCTCTGTGATTGTTTAGGAAACAAATGATACAATGGCAGAATAATTTTCATGATAAATGCTCCTCAAATGGCGAGGCTGTTCAGAAAAACTTACACATACTTTCTTTTATGAATATAATAAAAATTAGCAGAAATATGGAAAATTCTCAGTACTGATATATGGTGAGTTTGCTTAAAATACTAAAAGTGCATACATGTAATTTATGAATAGTATTCAAAAGAATTATTCCAAGCAAGAAAACACATTTGCAAAACTTTCCAACATTAACAAGAATGCATGTAGAGTATATAAATATGCATGATTTTTTATTGCAAAAAATATATGAAGAGGGAATGAGAGGTAGATAAGAAAAAGATGTCTCAGTGAATAAACAAATAAGTCAGTTTGGAATGTTGTTCCATCATGTTATCTACACATATTTTTTAAACAATAACACAGCACTTCTGATTAGCAGTTAAGACTGAGCGGAGTAATTGTTCCTGTTCTTCTTTCAAACACTGGTAAAATTAATGTAAATGGGATTGTTAAGTTTGAAATCTCACAGAGACCAAGAAAGGGGGAGAGAGTGTGACAGAATCAAAATTTTCAAATCATAAAGGCAGATGGATATATGGTAACTGCAAATAGCAAACCCAAAGTGCTGCAAACAATGATTTTTGGAAGAGTTGGAAATATTCACAGCTAGAGAATGGATAATATTAGGTGTTTCTGAAATGATATTGATGTGGGGCTAGAAACAGAAGTGGTTAAAAGTCTGTTTTAATAACAGTTAGATCTCAAGGTCTCATAGTCCCTCCTACATATGACAGAAGTTTGGAGGCATACTTTCTGGGGAGGGGTAAGCACCTATATGTGTGTATATATATGTATATATATATGTATGTACATATGACTGAGCCATGTGCCCCTCGCCCTCACTGGGTACCATGACAGTCACAACCAGTCGCATTCTAGACACAGGGAAATAGAATGTTTTTGTCTGAGTGACCTGAGCAAAAAGACAAGACAAAGATATTTAGAGTCAACCAAAGAAATAATTCAACCAATTGTTCTATGGTAAAGAAGTGCAGCCTGTTAGCCACCACTCCAAAGCAACACACACACACACACACACACACACGAGAGAGAGAGAGAGAGAGAGAGAGAGAGAGAGAGAGGATAAAAGGATTGTTGATGATCGGTGCATGAAGTCCATCATGCAACCACGATTTTAGAAAAGGAGAGCAGTGGAAATAAAGGAATGGAAAGTTTATGATAAACAGATATTAGAAATGAAGGATGAGGGTTTGCAGATTGAAAAAAGATTCCTAAGAACCAAATAGTTCATTTACAAAACGTGTACACAAAGGTAATATACTATAAAATTGAAAAATGCAAGGGACAAAGGAAAGATGACAAAAGCTTCCAAAAAGACAGAAAAAGTCCACATAAAAAGAGTAGAAATTAGCACAGTATCAAGTTTCTTTTTAACATTGCTAGTACCCAGCAGACAGACAAATATCTTCAAAATTGTGAGTGACGAATAGTTTTCCTCCTAAATCTGACAATCAATAAAACACTTATGAATTGTAAATTTAAACAACCTATATAGCCAAAAATCAATATGCCTCTTTTCAGGAATTTACTGAAGAAAGTGTTCCACTAAAATATTAATCCAAATAAAGAAGGAAGATGTAAACTCTTTTTTTTAAAGACTTTTTAAAAATTTTTTTTATTAGAGAAAGAGAATGAGTGGAGGGAGGTGCAGAGGAAGAGGGAGAGGGAGAATCCTAAGCAAACTCTGAGCTGAGCACAGAGCCCAACACAAGCTCGATCCCAGGACCCTGAGATCATGACCTGAGCCGAAATCAAGAGCAGGATCCTTAACTGACTGAGCCACCCAGGCGCCCAGTAAGATGTAAATACTTCTATATAACAGGGAGCGCCATACAGAAAGAGAATTCCCAGGGTCATCACAGAGAGATCCCAGAAAGAGAGCTGTGCATCAGACTTAGCAACCCATCCAGCCACCCAGCAATGCCAAGGACGCTAGGCAATTTATATTTTCACAAATTGGGAGTATGTATGTTATTGATGGCACTTCGGGGTCCAATTAGCAAGAGATGCATGGAGAACAAAACAATGAAAATGAAGTAATTATCAATATTATAAAAAATTCTTAAAAAGCAATCATGTATGCTATATGGCTCAGTTGTAAGTAAAATATTATACACCCATAATGAAGTAAACACTAATACATAGTATAACAAAAATAATTGTATAAATCTATTGGAGAATATTCTGTATATGTGTTTACATATGGCGGTGTATGAATTGGATGTTCTTCTCCCATAATGATATTCCATAATAACTCATAATCAACAAAAATGAGAGATTTATTATCTTATTTATGGTTCTATAATTAAACCAGTGACTATCATTTTTTCAATATTCCATAAATTGCTGTCTAATAAATTTTAAAATCCTAAGACATTTTTATAGATTTTTTCATTATTCAAAATTATTACTTCTATAAAGGCCCTTAATGACATTAATATGAAGATAAAATTGTTGGTGATAGTTTCTAAGATTTAAGGCTTGACCACCCATTAATAAATTACCTAAAAACTGTACAATAATGAAACATTGTAGTTTTCTTAGCTTGGTTCAAAAAAACAGGAGAGAGAGAGCTTGTTACAAAGGATAATGATGTTCTAAGAGATTCTTAAACAAGAGCAATAAAAGAGAAAGTGGAGGAAGTGGGGATATTAAAGACTTGATATTAATGATGTATTAGTGAGAGAGAGATAACATGTTTTAAATCCTTTCCACGGTAGAGAGAAGGAGACTTACTCTAGTCTGTGTATCATTTAAACTCAGGGAATATTATATGTTCTTTAGGATATTTTCTTGGTCACTACTCTCTTGTCTATCCCTATTCTCAGAGTTAAGGTTCATGCTTTTACTATATTCCATGACTCCCATTGGCTACAAATAACAGGTAAAGGGGGGATACTTGAACCATGTCAAGCCTCTTACCCCAAGAGGGTTTTTTACTCTTCTCTAATAATAATTTTAACTGTGGGGTGCCTGGGTAGCTCAGTCAGTTAAGCATCTGACTCTTGATTTCAGCTCAGGTCGTGATCTCATGGTCGTGGGATCCAGAGCCATGTGGGGCTCTGTGCTCAGTGGAAGTCTGCCTGAGGTTCTCTCCCTCTCCTTCTCCAGCCCCCTCCCCCACTTGCACTCTTTCTCAAATGAACAAATGAATCTTTAAAAAAATAATAATTTTAACTTTGCAGGTTTACCCAGTCAGAATCTCCTAAAATTCACAGAAGAGTAGAAAATTCCATTTAAATAATATGATAATTTCAGTTCCTTATACAGGCATCCATTTTGAAAATCACATTTAGATTTTCTAATGTAGGAACATGCTTTCTAGCATGCCAAAAATATAACACTTAGAAAATGTTTTCTGCAAAATTTGGTCCCTTCTGGACAATGACTTAATCAAAATGATAGTTAATCACTTAAAACATGTTTCAGATTTACAGAAAAATTGAGAATATAGGACAGAGAGTTCCTATACAATTTAAACCCAGTTTGCTCTATTATTAACATTTTACATTAGGGTGGTACATTTGTTATAATTAATGAACCAATCTTGTTATATTATTATAAAATCCATATTTTATTCAGATTTCCTTGGTTTTTATTTTAACTCAGTGTTCTTTTTCTGTTCCAAGAACCTGTTCAAATACCATCACTTTGTTGTCCCATGTCCTCAGCATCCTCTGACCTGTGACCATTTCTCAGACCTACCTTCTTTTTGATGACTCTGACAATTTTAAGGAATATCTAGTCAGGTATTTTATAGAATGCTCCCCAAGTGGGATTTGTCTGATACTTATTTCACAATTAGACTGGAGTTATGTATTTCAGGGAGGAAGACTACAGAGGTAAGGTGATACTTTCATCATGCCATATGAAGGATAAAAACTGTCAGCATGACTTAATACAGATGATGTAGTGGTAAGATTTAGATGGTTTGTAAAACCTCTCCTGGAAACAATTATTCACCCTTTTTTTTTTTTTTTGGTTGACTATCAAAGAAGTCAGGTAAAATTATTTTTAACCAGATAACAAGATATACTTTATTTTTGTATCCAGGAAAACAAGGATTTTCTAAATATGCCTTGTTCTATAAACACTTCTACAAAAAAAAATATGCCTTTGAAATGGTTTGCTTAGAACTCTGCTTAAGATAATCTCGATATAAGAGTTTAATACAAACATTTAGATGTAGGTAGAAGGCCCATTTTCTATCTGAGGGCATATGCCAAATGCTTGGAGAAACTGAATTTCCTTTTTCAAATTCCATTTTCTCTTCTGGCATTCAGGAAAAGAAGAAAAAAATAAAATTTGAAAGTAACTAAGATGTAGTCAATAGAATATGCAGGAAAGCAAATCCAGACTCTCAGTGAAATGTGAACCACCAACAGACCTACTCAATTACTGAGGTCAGGAAGAACATTTGCTTACCATGTAAGCTGGCAGAGTGTCTTCAGCATCACTGAAGACAATGAATGCCCCCCGATTCAAAATACCTAGAAGCAAATAAGCAATTCCTAGGAAGTACTTCTCTTGCTTCTGCCCCACTGTGGCGGGGGTTGGGGGGTTGTGATAAACAGGAGTAAGGAGAAAAGAAATCATGAGAAATAAAAAAAAGAGAGAGCTAGTGATATGCCTACATTTTAACTAAAACCACTGCCAGAAAAGTAGACCTATCCAAAGCAAGGAAAAATAAAGAAGCATGTAATATGAGACAGAACTGATCAGCACTACTGACATTTGTACCCAGACAAGTCTTTCTTATGGGGTTGTCCTGGGCACTGTAGGCCTCCAGTCAGTAAACACCAGCCGCTAAATCCTGCCTCCACGCAACCCCCTCCCCACCCCGGAGTTGTTAAACCAAAAATTCCTCCATACATTGTGCAATGTGCCACGTGGAACAAAACTGTCCCTCCTTCCTCTTTCGAAAACAGACATAAATCAAGATAAGCAATGTTTCTTACAGAAGATATAAAAAATATCTACTATAAATGATAAGATTGGTATATTTGACCACAGCTAAATAATAACTTCTATTTATATATAGATACAATAAAGAAAATTAAAAATCAGGCCACAAAATGTAAGTTAACATTATAAAGATAGATTAGAGAGATAGATATGGATAGATAGATGGATAGATAGATAGATACACAGATAGACAGACAACAGACAGTATCTGTAGATATAGATAGATGTCCTGGCAGAAGATACAGGGAACACATCAAAATATACAGAGTTCTTTTTTAGAGAAACAAGAAAGATGAAACCAAAACAGTATCAAGTATTGGTAGGGTGTGGAAATAGAAACGCATATGTTTTTACTGGAATTTAAGTGGCATGATCAGTTTTGGAAATAATTTGAGATTTTCCAGAAACACTGAGATAAAGCTATATGAGGAATGATGAAGGACTTTTTCTTCACTCATCTCAGTAAAATATTGTTCCACACTGTTGTTCCTAACCCTTCTTGCCAATCTTAGAAACTATCACCCCAACAACCTTAATTCCAACTCTGAAAGCCCTTCATCCTATCCCATGATAAATACAAGCTCAGTTCCCCATATTTCCCAAGATTTTGAATAGGGATCAAGCTATGGAATAAAACTAACTTTGATCTTCCTTTATCTAACCTATAAATTCTTCAGGACACTTGCTAGTATTCTGACACAACAGTATTCTGAAGCTGTTTTTACCTTGCAGTGTTCTTAATTAAAGGGGTAACCTAACCACTTTTGCTTGGATTTTCTCCTTCAATATTTATGATCCAGAAATATTACTTTTTATGTACCCCCCAAAAAGTTCTAGTGTGTTAAAGAAAAAAGAAATCTTCAAATAATATATATTGTGGTTCTGTTTTTCGTGGCCTTAGCTGGAAAAAAGGCAAATGTTATTCAAGTAAATGAATGAATAAACAATACCATGTGAAATTAAGTATTACCTAGAAGTTAAAAAAAAGCAAAAGAATGGATAGTTCTATTTAGCTATGCTAAATTGGGACAAAACACTGAGTGCAAAATGAAGCACAGGAAAATATTAAAGAGAGTCAAAATATACAACTTTAAATACTATATGACTATGGGAACCAACATATATGGGGGAAAAGCAAAGAATAGCGATGTGAGTGTAAAGACAAAATCTGAGTAATGTTTTTCACTGTGGGGCTGGAAAGGGGATGGCATGAGGAAGGGAGGTGTTTGAGTGATGTTTCAAAGATCATGATTATATCCTATTCCCTAAATGGTGCCTTTGACTTTTTTGGTTCTTTACATCCCACATTGTTTACAAATATTTTTGTATCAACTCTATATTTAAGAAACATTTGCAACCAAACTAAAGAATGAACCAGAAAAAGAGTTATGTAGAGAGTTTAAAAGGAAGAAAGAAAAGAGAGTGGAAGAAGAAAGAACAGATTAACTCATACATCTCTTCTGTGGATTAAAAGTGACAAACTCTAGAAAAACCTTTTCAAGCACAGTCATCATTTTCAACTTTGGCATTTGCTTCCTGAGATTCATCTTTTTCTTCAAAGGGCAATTCACGGTCAAGATCCATTATAACACTGTCCCTGGTACTCTATACCCTGAGACTGACTTCCTGTTAAAAAAAAATTTACAAAGCTGTCTTTTTGCTGTCTTTTTAAAGTTTTCTATTATATGATGGACTTACTTCATGTTAAATTAGTTTCCATGCTCACAATTGTTAAAAAGATTCCATTATATGAAAAATACTATTTATATGCAATATTGCCATTATTACAGATCATTCAATTGATAGAGATTTATTTATGACAATTTAAAATGAAAAATAATTCTGTTTTTAGACACTTAAGGCTCTTAAATTTTCATATGGCATACAATAATCCAATTGGATAGCTACTCACTAAGAATGGAGTAAAATTTCCTGAGTAAATGTATTATCTAAAGGCCATACCACTGCTATTAAATGCTGTATTTTGCCATTACCAAACTGGATTAGAAGCATGAAATCTTTCTTTATTATGAGCAATAAAAGCAATTTGCCTGAACCTATTACAATATGTCTAATTTATTAACCATACCTTGAAGTACAATATGCTTAATAATTTACACTTTTGAACTACTTGTATGTGTCTTTTATTTTTTAAAAAGAAACATAACTGCTAGCATTCGGAGGAGTCATTATTCTAATTAGAAAAATACTGAAGGCTTAGAGTTCATTCAACAAATCAATATTTAATTAGCAATGTGTCAAACTGCAGATACCTGCTACTATAGTATATGTTACTAAAATGAGATGTTCGTTTATCATTGATGTAGCTGTGAAGAGTAGGTCACAGACATCCAAATAAAAATGGAATTAAGTACCCACATGGCACTGGCAAATGGCCAAAACCCCTCTTCCACTATGACCTCAATAATGGAAATATGTCATCAGATTTCTAAACATAGCATTTCAGCTTTTGTCATTTTTATAGTTGGCCCTTATATATGTGACTAAAAGGAGCTTAACAGTGGTAAAATCAGAGTAGAGTTTCACTGACTTCTGTTTACTCAGATATTTATTTTTAATATTTTAAGATTTTAATAAGACATCCATAAGAAATTTTAGTTTTTGTAATCCCTAGGTGCTTTAATGCATTTATATGATTACTACAGATAATGAAATCAATTATTTCTCACCCTTGAAAGACGAATCATTGTTAATGTCAGGTGAATTTCCCAGCATGAAGCAAGTTAGATGTAAAAAGTAAAAAAGAAAAAGAAAAAAAAAAAAGAAAAATGTTCATTGTTTGTGGACTACATAGAAGGAATACTGATTACATGAATACTATTTTATAGTCTCATTTCATTTTAAATACACCTCTTTAGAAATATTATAAGCTAACGTGTGCATTCAAAAATGTATATATATTTCATTACACTTAATAAATCAATGAATACATTTATTGAGCACTAGTACTAGTATTATGTTGATTTATATGTGAGATACTACATTTGTATATAAATGATTTTCTAATTTGTGATATGTTCATATGATAGAATACTGTATAGAAGTTTTTAAAAACTAAAAATGAATGTACTAATTAGGAACAAAATGTTGAGATATGCAATTGAGATATGGAAATCTGAATTTGAGCTAAATATGTTTTATTTGAGATATGGAAACATTAAAATAACTGATGATAAGGATATTAATCTGAATGAAGTTGACCTAAAGTACCTTAATGTTTGAGAGACAACATACAAAAAAGATATACAGATGTACATAATTGCATAAAGGGGGTCATATTCAATCTATCAGCAAAGTTGAATTTAGATATGCAAAGGTCATTCTGTGACATGGGAGAGCAAAAATTAAAATATTTTGTGTTGAGAAGTGATTATGAGCTTTGGAAGTGTTAATTGTCTGATGTGCCAAAAATGAAATAACAGAAAGAAATTAAATAATACAATAATGGAATTGAAAACCTGGTGTTGAGGAAAGAATGTGGTGTTGATAGAAGGGAAATAAACATTTTTATTAGACAAACTCAAACCTTTAAAAAGCATACAAGTGTCTTTAAAAACTATAAACATGCCTTATTTTAGCTATATCCCTACATTTAATAAGCCTATGTTTATTTATCTCCTTTTTAAATTAACGCAGCCCTGTATTCCTCAGTATACGTAAAACTAACTAAAATGCCTATTTTCATAAGCATTACTTATTTCAAGAGAAGAGCATCAAAGGCCATAGACTAAAAGAACAAAGACGGGAAAGCCAAAAATGAGAAAAACCTTTTCCTATAGTAGTTGTGTGGTCTCTGGGGCCAGATTTGAATCTGTACCATCCCTTCCATTGGGTGATCTTGGTCAACTTACTTAACTGTTCTTTATCTGTGTTTTCAAATTTATCAAATGCAAATAATAATCATATTTATTTCAAAATATTCTTGTAAGTATCAAATTCATTAGTATATTTATGGCATCTGCAATGATACCTGTTAAATAATGGATGCCCAATAAATATGGATATAATATTGACCGTGTTCTTCATGTCACAGGGTTTGGCTAAACAGAGCAACAGAGCTGACATATTTCATATTATAATTCTATAAAGCTGATTAATAAAAGACTACAATAAAACAGCTACCATTACATTTTGTAATCGCTAAGCATTTAGCAATAGGTCTTTAAGATTTTTAAACGGAAAAGTAAGATGTCTATCAATGTATATCTTATCCTCTCTCCTACATCCACACTTACATTATACTTATGAATCTCGCTGCTTCAGAACAGTGGCTACTCAGTGCACATTATGCAATCTTACTTCTCTGATGTTTTTCTTAATAGCAGAGGACACAGGAAGGGTAATAACCAGAGGAGACAATAAATCCATTAGACTGATAACATGAGAAGCCAATGAAAGAGAAGGCTTCTAACAGGAAGGGCCAAATTAATCAATATAGCTAGGAGTCTCTCTGTCTCCGGGCAATATTAGTAAACTTAGGTTTGTGACAGGTGGAAGCAAAAGTGCGGACTGCATGGGAGAGAGTTTATGTGAATGTATCTTCTAATATTTCTTTTCTCAAGGTAAGAGTGCCGCTGTAATACTTAAAGCAAAAGTTAAGGTAGTTGGGTTTTTTCTTCTTCTTGTCATTTGTTTTTATTTACGCTGAAGAAATTTAAGAATACTTATGTGCAGGTGTGGAGAGATGAATAAAAGAGAGAAAATTATTTGGAATCAATCAAATGAGGTTCTTTTTTTAAAATTTTTTTATTGTTATGTTAATCACCATATATTACATCATTAGCTTTTGATGTAGTGTTCCATGATTCATTGTTTGTGCATAACAACCAGTGCTCCACGCAGAACGTGCCCTCTTTAATACCCATCACCAGGCTAACCCATCCCCCCCCCCTCCCCCCCTCTAGAACCCTCAGTTTGTTTTTCAGAGTCCATCGTCTCTCATGGTTCGTCTCCCCCTCCAACTTACTCCCCTTCATTCTTCCCCTCCTGCTATCTTCTTCTTTTTTTTTCTTAACATATATGGCATTATTAGTTTCAGAGGTACAGATCTGTGATTCAGCAGTCTTGCACAATTCACAGCGCTCACCATAGCACATACCCTCCCCAATGCCTACCACCCAGCCACCCCATCCCTCCCACCCCCCACCACTCCAGCAAACCTCAGTTTCTTTCCTGAGATTAAGACTTCCTCATATCACTGAGGTCATATGATACATGTCTTTCTCTGATTGACTTATTTCACTCAGCGAAACACCCTCCAGTTCCATCCACGTCGTTGCAAATGGCAAGATCTCATTCCTTTTCATGGCTGCATAATATTCCATTGTGTATATATACCACTTCTTCTTTATCCATTCATCTGTCGATGGACATCTTGACTCTTTCCACAGTTTGGCGATTGTGGACATTGCTGCTATAAACATTGGGATGCACGTACCCCTTCGGATCCCTACATTTGTATCATTGTAGTAAATACCCTGCAGTGCAATTGATGGATCGTAGGGTAGCTCTATTTTCAATTGTTTGAGGAACCTCCATACTGTTTTCCAGAGTGGCTGCACCAGCTTGCATTCTCACCAACACTGTAGGAGGGTTCCCCTTTCTCCGCATCCCCGCCAACATCTGTCGTTTCCTGACTTGTTAATTTTAGCCATTCTGACTGGTGTGAGGTGGTATCTCATTGAGGTTTTGATTAGGATTTCCCTGATGCAGAGCGATGTTGAGCACTTTTTCATGTGTCTGTTGGCCCTTTGGATGTCTTCTTTGGAAAAATGTCTGTTCATGTCTCCTGCCCAGTTCTTGATTGGATTATTTGTTCTTTGGGTGTTGAGTTTGATAAGTTCTTTACAGATTTTGGATACTAGCCCTTTATCTGATATGTCGTTTGCAAATATTTTCTCCCATTCTGTCGGTAGTCTTTTGGTTTTGTGGACTGTTTCTTTTGCTGTGCAAAAGCTTTTTATCTTGATGAAACCCCAATAGTTCATTTTTGCCCTTGCTTCCCCTTGCCTTTGGCGATGTTTCTAGGAAGAAGTTGCTGCGGCTGAGGTAAAAGAGGTTGCTGCCTGTGTTCTCTTTTAGGATTTTGATGGACTCCTGTCTCACGTTTAGGTCTTTCAACCATTTGGAGTCTATTTTTGTGTGTGGTGTAAGGAAATGGTCCAGTTTCATTCTTCTGCATGTGGCTGACCAATTTTCCCAACACCATTTGTTGAAGAGACTGTCTCTTTCCATTGGACATTCTTTTCTGCTTTGTCAAAGATGAGTTGACCATAGAGTTGAGGGTCCATTTCTGGGCTCTCTATTCTGTTCCCTTGATCTATGTGTCTGTTTTTGTGCCAGTACCATACTGTCTTGATGATGACAGCTTTTAATAGAGCTTGAAGTCTGGAATTGTGATGCCACCGGCTTTGCTTTTCTTTTTCAATATTCCTCTGGTTATTCGGGGTCTCTTCTGGTTCCATACAAATTTTAGGATTCTTTGTTCCATTTCTTTGAAAAAAGTGGATGGTATTTTGATGGGGATTGCATTGAATGTGTAGATTGCTCTAGGTAGCATTGACATCTTCACAATGTTTGTTCTTCCAATCCATGAGCATGGAACGTTTTTCCATTTCTTATGTCTTCTTCAATTTCTTCCATGAGTATTTTATAGTTTTCTGAGTACAGATCCTTTGCCTCTTTGGTTAAATTTATTCCTAGGTATCTTATGGTTTT